ATAAAGTAGGCTATAAGATTATAAAGCTTTAAGCAGTAAATAAAGCTGCTACATAATATAGATTGCATAAAAGGAAGCAAATTTAGGCAAAAGATACTTTAATAGTTAAAAATAAGGCTTGTCTAACTGCTCTAAAGGAGTTTAAAGCGCGTAGTAATAGGAAAAAGCTAAAGACGCAGGTGCGCGCTAAAAAAAGTAAGCTAAGTTAAAGGCAATATAGGCAGTGTAATTAGACTAGGTATAACTTACATACATGTAAGCAAGTAGCAGAAGTAGACTCTAAATAATATCTTATGTTATATTACTTTATACAGGGCTAAAGTAGGCTGTTTTGCGAGAGAATAGGGTGGTTTTAGTAGGGGCTTAGCAAAAGTGGCCGGCTAACCCGTGTAGCCAGCTAACCTGTTAGGTACGTTAATGCTTTTTAAATATAAAATAGTAAAAACTTAAAAGTGTTTTCCTCTAAATAAGTGTAATAGATTAATGTTTAATAAATTATACTTACTTAAGCTTAAAATAAAAAGTTTTTCTAAGTGTTACTATTTTTTATTTAAAAAGCATTTAAATTAAAATTATTTATATCTATAAATTCTTTTTTAAAATCTTACTACTCTACTTTTATTTTTTATACTTTAGGGATAGAGCAGTTACTAGTAAAATGTTTTAGTTTTCTATAATTATAACAGTTACTAGAAGTTATCTATTTTTCTAAGGCAGGTGTCTAGCTAGATTATCTATAGGTAATTAAGGTAAACTAGGGTACTAACAGAGGTGCAGGTTAGAGTGCACTAGAATAGTATACTGCCTTAGATGTATTACTAGAAACTTTCTAAGACTAATCTATACTAGGTCTAATAGTAGACTGTTAGGTAAGATTAACAGTTTACTTTAAAATAGCAGAGGTATTTCTTTTTTCTATATTATAGGCTGTTAGGTAGGCTACTATAGTCTTAAAGAAGCTTTTTTAAGTGTGCTTAAAACTTAAGTTTAGTACTTTTAGGCTAAGTAGTATTTTTTTTTATAAGTAAAAAAACTATTTTACTTTTAATACAGACTTTTTAACAGCAGCACTAATAAAGCAAGCTTTAAAAGTAAAAAACACTTCTTCTTTACTTATTTTTAAAGTTTAAAACACTTATTACGCTTTTATTTTTTTATTACTAGTAATAAAGTAAGTTTATAAAAGCTTAATTATTTTTTTTATATTTTTAAACTAAAAGTAATCTAATTTAGCTAGGTATCTAGGCTCTAGGTATTCCTTTGCAATACTAGCAGTGTGTCCCTATACTAGCGCTATGTGTGCGCACTTACTTTAATAGTAATCTACATTAATGTTAAGTCTATTTATAATAAAAGCTTACTATTATTTAAATGTAAGTTTTTTACTATTTATAAAGTTCTTAATCTTAAGCATACATTTAGTAAAGTAGCTTTAAAAGAGCTTAAAAGTGCCTAAAAAGTCTCTTACTATTAAAGTAGTAGAGATAATTTAAGGCATTATTATAAGTAATTTAGTAGTTAGTAGGGGTTAATTAAAACTAATAGTTTTTAATTTAGTTAGCTATTTAATTTATGCTCTTAATTAAGTAACTTAGTTTTTAAGAGCTATGTTACTCTAGTTTAACTTTAAATCTAGTAGGTCTTTAGCTTTAAGTTCTATAAAAAAAAGTTTAGCTATTAAAGTTAGTAGTTATTTAGCTTTAGTAGTAAGCATTTTACTTTAGCTACAGCTAGAGTGTGTTGTAAGCTTTATACTAAAGTCTAAAAGTAGTTAAAAGTTAAGCATTAGTAGTTATCTCTAATTCTAATAAGTTATTAGTAGTCTTTAGGTTTCTACTTTAGCACACTTTTTATAACTTTTCTAAAAGTAATTCTAATTATAGAGGATAAAAAGTTTTAAACCTAAAAGCTTTAGTTAATAGAAGGTCTCTAAAATTCTATTTATAATAACTAAATAATTTAATATAATAGTGTGTAAAAACTATAACTTAAACTAAATTAAACACTTTTTAAAGTTAGACATAGTTAAATAAATAATTAATATAATATTATTAATAAGGCTATTACTAGTAAAAGTAAGTTTTCTAATATAATGTAACAGCGCAGGTAAGATAATAGGTCTAAATGCAGTAGGAATCTACTTAGAGGCATATAGAAGTGCGTGGGGACTCTAAACCTAGGAATGCTATTAACACCTATAGGCCTTATATAAAAGGATATTAAAAAACTACTAAGCTAGCTATAGAGGCAAGGTGCGACTAAATACATAAGGGAATAGAGGTAACTGCGGGGGACTAGGTTAAGTCATGGTCGGGGCCGATACGGGGACCCTTTGGATAGGATCCGAGCGACCCGATATGGAACGATTCGTAGAATCGTTACAGTTACACTAGAGAGGCATACTAAGACTCTAACCTTACAGGAGAAAAATAGACTAATGCTAGTAAAAACATAGCCTACAGATCACGTAGTAATCTAAATTAGGTATAGTGTAATTATAAAGCTTAGTAAGTAATTATAGTACTTATAAAACTATTTTATAATTACTAACAAAAGATGTAATTAGTGTAATTATAGGCAGGTATATAGTCTTAACCTCTCTTTACTATTTAAAAAGTTATAGTTATTCTTATTTTTAAAGCATAGCTGTCACGGTTATGTTACAGCTATCCAACCCCTGAGTACCCTAAGGGCTTGGCACGGGGTATATAGGCTCCTCGGCCTCCGTACCTCTGCCTCGGACCCTAAGGTTTACTCTCTCGTTACCCCCCCTATCCTGCATTCCCTCTCTGTGACCTGTGTTTCCTGCTCGATACCTCTCACAATAGCTTTAAGTATAGCAATATATCTATTTTTTTTAATATAAAGTATGTAAAAGATTTCTTTTATTTATTAAAAAACTAAAGCTACTTAGTTATTTTACTTTTTTTACTTTTTACTAACTTTTTTTTTACCTTGCTTTTAACTAGATTGTATAGAGGACTGTACACCCTTCTTACCTTGTTATATGTTAGAGAAGTATTATGTGACTCTTCTCACTCTGTTCCCACCTCTTACCCCTCTCCCTTCTCTAAGACCCTCCGTTACCGTCAGAAGACACCTAGCAATAGGAAAGTCAAGGTAAGATATTATAACAAGAATGTAACGATTCTCGTTCCATCTCGGGTCGCCCGGAACCTATCTGAAGGGTCCCCGTATCGGCCCCGACTCTGCCCTGCCCCCAGCTGTTACCCCTATTCCCCCATGTATTTAGTCGCACCTCTCCCCCGTAGCTAGCTCGGTAGTTTTCTGATATCCTTCGTACAAGGCCTATAGGTGTCAATGGAGTTTCTAGGTCATTGAGTCCCCACGCACTCCCATATGCCTCTGAGTGGATTCCTACCGCATTCGGACCCATTGTCTTGCCTGTGCCGTTACAAAGAACAAGACAAGTTATTAGTCTATGTTGTAATATGCTTTATAGCTTAGATTGTTATTGTCCTATGTAGGCTTGCTTACCTCTAGAGTCATCTAATAGGAGGACTCTTCTGTGTCTAGGTTTTCTAACAAATCGCCATTTGTAACAGTGGGTTTTCCGCCACGCATGGAGGGACAGTTAAGGAGGATACTTGCCAGGGATGGTGAGCATGCACAACCACAGGCTTGACAGCCAACAACAGATAATGCGCCTGACAAAGAAATTATATAAGTTACAATACAGCCTATTCATTGTCCGCACAATCAGGGATCCTTAAAGCTTTTGATTAGAGGTACTGACAGGGGTGGTGTAAGGACAGGGCTCTGGACCACCACTCCGCCAATACAACTAAAAAGGTGCGAATAATCAACTAACAGTTAATTCTGCATACAGAACAGTATATATACCTGTCGCGCGTAAGGACCATCTTGGCCTTACAGGTGGCAATATCGCATGACCCAGTATGCTACGGAAACTACATTGTTGATAAAAGCTAGATTTCCTGGTACTGTGAGTTTGAAAGGCTTTAAAACCTTGATTGTGGAGCTGTAGGTTAAGGTGTCTGTTTATAGCATGAAGAAGGCTCTTCGTGATCTGGCCGCGAAGGCAACGACGTAAGTGTGTAATTTTGGTGTTATAAAAGCAAGGAGTGTTCTAGAGAAGGCATATAATATTATTCACGCCGGAAAATAGAGAAAGCGAAGATAGTTAGAGTACTAGGGTCTCTTGAATTAAAAATACCTGTGGTTTGTCTCGTTACGGTGTGTGTCTCGCGATGCAGTGAGAGACGTTAGCTCTTTAACGTCAAGGCGCGAGAAAGACGTGCTCGCAGCATGATGATGAGGGTGACCCCCTGGCGAGGAGGTGTCGTGAGCGGGCACTCTTCCCCGCGAACCTCGGAAGGCTAAGCTTCAGCTGTGTGCGCAATGCCGCCATTGTGGCTGGCCCACGACTTCACAAAGCAGCCCGCCGCCCGCCGTTTGCTCCGTTAGTCTGACTTTGCGCTGCGCCCGCGATCCGGCGGTGACCCTGAGTGAGACCTGACGGTGCTGCAGTTAAGTTAGAAAGAGACAGACAGAGAGGCAGACAGGTGGACACGCTGCCCTCTCCCCGCCGCCTTTCGGACCTACCGCTGCTGAAAGCGTGCTAGTCGTTGCGATCGACAAACCTGCCAGCCAAGAAGTCGTTGTCCAGGTTCAACCTCTACATCGCCGCCGCCATCAGCGCTTGACACCTCACCTCCCGTCTTTCTTTCATTTCCGCCTGTTCATGCGTCCTACCATCCCCGGGACCACGGCTGCGTCAACCGGACACATTCTTTGATGACAACGGCACAGCCAGTCGTGCATTCTCACAATCTACCATGCCCTTGTGATCCCCAGGCCCACGCGATACCGACCGATAACGATTGCACTTGCTCTCACGCGGTGAATAAACTGCCAGCCCGTCTGGTGTGCACTGTGTTGGCCGCCTGCAGACGATCCACGCCTGCACTCCTTCACTCCCCCGCCCCAATTCCCAGACCCAACTTCACCGCATCACGATGGGGAACAGTCAGGGAAAGGAGTCGCGGCCTGGCTCGTCTCGCGGGCACTCACGCCCATCGAGCACGCGCAATCCGAGCTCACCCACTGCATCCGGTCCCAGCGGGGCCTCGCACCACGACAGGTCGGGCAGCGGCGTATATGCTTCGCGGGGCGGGCGAGGAAGCAGGCACGACCTCTCCTTCCTCGGCATCGGCGGCAGCTCCGAGCGTGACCCCGCCCTGGAACCACGGCGGGAGACCAAGGCAGAACGGGAGGCCCGTAAGCTGGAGAAAGACCGCGCTCTCAGGGCACAAGAGAGGGAGCGGAGTATCCGCGAGGAGGGTGTAGATGGCGGATACCTGGTCACGCTTGGAACATACACTGGCCCGGAGGACTTTAGCAAGCCCGTGGTCAGACAGCTACAGGTATGGTTATCGTGACCATCTCGGCACGTCATCTTACATTATTCAGATTGAGCGCCGATTGGCTCCGTTCTGGAAAGGTCTCAATGACCACTCCGATACATGGACGGAATATCAATTGATAGCAGTCGTGAACGGCCTCCCACTCCCTGCCCCCGACGAAGTCCCTCCAGAGGAACCTCCACGATCAGACAATCTCAGTCCCGAATGGAACCCGCGCAGCTCGAATACCAACATCAACAGCCTCACCGTGCCCATCACTTCACGATCTCCCTCATCAAACTCAGATCGATCTATGAATCTAACGCCCTCACACCCTGCATTTTCGCTCCCTTCCCCTACCTCACCTATCGCTGCCTCCCCGTCCTCGTCACCTTTCTTCCGAGGCCGGGCTAAGACGCTGGCTGCTCTCACCACATCCTCCAGAAACAACTCCCAAACCGAGATGACGCCGCAGGAGGTACAGCTCCCGCGGGATCCATACGTTAATGGCCAACGCATCGAGGTTTTCTTGTACAAGAATGCTTCTGAGTGTCCAATTTGTTTCCTATACTACCCGCCCTACCTGAATCGAACCCGATGCTGTGATCAGCCAATTTGCTCCGAGTGCTTCGTGCAAATCAAGAGACCCGATCCTCACCCACCTGAACATCATGATCCGAACAATCCGAACAATCCGCCAGAGCCCCAGGAAGATAATGTGTTGGTTTCGGAGCCAGCAGCGTGTCCTTTCTGTGTTCAGCCCGAATTTGGCGTTACCTATGAGCCCCCGCCGTTCAGGAGAGGACTGTCGTATGCTAATCAAGGGCAACATCCCCTTGCCAATGCTGCGTCTGCAATGTCTTCGACATCTTCCCTGAACTCGCAAGGCCTGACTTCTCCAGGTCGAAGGAGAGCAACGTCGCTTGCGGCGAACGACTCTAATGTCATTACGACTGATAGGGTGCGGCCAGATTGGGCCAAGAAATTGGCAGACGCGCGGTCACATGCTTTAAGAAGAGCTGCAGCTGCTACTGCATTACATAACGCAGCCTACATGATGGGTAACCTACAAGCTTCAGAAGGCCGTGGCTTTACATTAGGGAGAAGGAGGCGGACCATGTTCGGTGGCGAGAGTGCAGGTAGTAGCGGGCATGGAACACCCCGTCGCGAAGGTGACATCGGCGCACTGCTTTCTGCCGCCACCGGAGGATCTTCAAACAGGCCAAACGATGGGCAGGCTGATTTGATTGCCGGACGGCACAGCTCGAGACGTGGTAACAGGTTGGAGGACCTCGAAGAACTTATGATGATGGAAGCGATTCGCTTAAGTCTTGCGGCTGAGGAGGAACGCAAGAAGAAGGAAGAAAAGGAGGCCGTCAAGGAAGCCAAGAAAGAAGAAAAGAAAAAGGCCAAAGAGGCTAAGAAAGCGGAGAAAAGTGGGCGGAAGACTGGTTTTTTCCCGATTGATATCGACGGCGAATCAAACGCTGCAGGATCATCATCCGCTGCAGGAAAAGGGAAGGCAGTTGACCGCTCAGGGGGCTCCGTTGGCTTTAATCCACTAAGCGAGCATACGTCCACACTCAGCACGATGTCCTCGAAAGACGACCCTCAGCGGCATCTTGAACAGAGCCGAGCGCAGATCCAAAGGGAGACTTCAAGCACCAGCAACACGCCTTCTCCTTTCGACCCGTTCGCCGAGCAGCCATCTCACAGAGCAGCACTTCGCAACCTCTCCAACACCTCTTCATCCGCATCGTCCTTGGCAGAATCGCTACAAGGATCTCTGCGTCAAGGCAGCCAAGGCGGTTTCGGTGCCTCAGCATCATCCTTCGAACCGAGTCCAAATGCGTCCGGTATCAGCCTCAACCACGATGAGACGCCTCCACATGGCACATCTAGCACTGAACCGATGTTCAATTTCAGGAGCCTGGCTGCTGTCATTACCAATGAGGATAGCAGCAGGGACGATGAAAGTGTTGTCCAGCATATCGAGAACGTCGCTGGTGGCGAGCGAGCGGATGGAGAAGGCTCGAGTCATGTAAAGGATTCTGTCGAAGGAGGGGAGAGCTCGAGCTCCAGGAGATGGGCGCCGGATATCGCTGTCCAACCACCGCCGGAATCTACAGTTACGGTGAAGATGACGGCGACGGCGGAAAGTGCGACTAAGCTTCAGGTGCTCCCGGAGCCTGAGGAAAGTCTCGGAGAGAGTGTGCTTACGCTCAAGCCAACGAAATGTAGTGTTAATGGTGAGGACGAAATTGGCCCCGCACCTCAGATTGAAGTTGTAGCGAGTTCGCATGAGGGTGATGTGGATTCGAAACATATCGAGGATGTCAGTATGGTGAATTCTTTACAACAACCTACGCAGTGAGGACGAGAGACTTTGAATGATAAGTGGGAGCCAGGCCTTCTACAGCGTAACTGGGCCTAGTCTCTCATGTCACTTGGAGATCGCTGGCATGGTATCAAGCCCAGCTGTTCTCATCCAACTTTGCATCACGGCGTTATATCGGGTTTACGGTGGACGGATGAATGGAGGCGTTCTGGTTGGCTGGCCGGTTGGGGTGTTCTGCGGTTCTGCAGGGGGCTGGGAGGTCGGTTCTCTGTGTACGGTCTTTTATCCCTCAAATTATGTCTCCTTTACGTACCTACGTACCACCCCCCCTCACCACACTTTCCTCCTCACTCCTTCCCTTTTCGTATCAATTCTTCGAGACTGTCTTCCATGATACATGGCTGACTGGCATTTGGGGCTTTATTTTGTCGACTCAAGATAGTCTGTTTGGACTGGGCTGGGCTGGACTGGGCATTATAAGGGAGCTATGAATTACTTCCGCTTTACACGTATGTGATTAGAGATGAAGAATTGTAGATTTTACAGAGATGTGAGAGGTAATGCGTGATGCGTGCGAGCGTGCCTGTGGTAAGGATGTTGGATTTGTCGGAGTTTGGGGTCGTGATGGTGGGTGGTGAGGAAGGAAGGAGGAAGGAGGAAGGAGGAAGGGGAGGGAAACGAGATTTAAGTATGATATAAATCCCACCCCCACCCCGTATATACCTCAAGACTGTAGATGGGATTATGTGACTGTCATGGACTTATCTATATTGAATCTCTGCCGTGATATGTTTTAGTTAAGCATACATGTGTGTCATAGTGTTGCGAGTGAGACGGTTTCGTAGGTGAGTTACGCAGTGCTGAAGGTATTAGAGCTGCTATATGAGCGTTGCAGGTCTTATTATCCGCATGCTCATGCTTTAGACATTTGCCTAAGTGGGAAGCGAAGTGGGCGAGGAATTGTTAGATTCTAGCTGGATTTCTATGTTCATCGGAAGGAGCTTTGAGCTGTGGAAAGTAAGTAGTGTGATCTGGTAGGGCTTGTGTGGGGGCTGGGAGTGCGAACCATAGGTGCACGATCTCCATGGAATTGGGGTTAATAATAGCTGGTAAAGTGTTCCCAGAGCACTTCCAATGCAGGCTCCCTCGAGATGGAAAGAAGAACTGCGTGATTGATAAGTGGATAGCAGTTGCCCGCTTATGTCATATCATGGGTGAGAGTGAGATTGTAGCAGTATGTCTGGCTAGCTTTACCAAGGTTCTGAACAGTGCGAGATGGATTCATCTTTCAAGGAGTGAAGTGTCTTGCAAGGCTGACTCCGGCTCCGTGACCGACCTTGCATTGGTTTTTGGCTTGTAAAACCAGCAACGGGCATTGGCATTTCATAAACACCGCAATGCAACGGATCCATGAATGTGCAAGAGTGATTGAGAAGGAGTGGGTAGAAGATTGTTCAACATCGAACTACCGAGTTGGAGTTCGCGTGAAGTTAGTTCGATCTACAGTGAGCTAGATATGTAGACTACGCCACTAGTTTTATTGGGGATTTCGACCACCATGAAAACTCGCAAAATCCCCCCTTTTGGGTCAAGGCTCGATTGTCCATGTTCTGATCATCCTGCCGATTGCCGTGATTGGATTCATGAAGTGGTGAATTCGCCCGATGAAACGATACTAAGCTTAGTGAGAAGAGTGAGAAACTCAAAGTACACCTCGCAAGGTTATGCTATTGAAGAAGTAGGCATGATTTGTAGGGCCGTACATATCCCGAGAAATGTAGATAGTCTCCTGCTAGTATACAAGGATTTCGCGGTGTCGTCAGCGATGAAACGGTGGCAATGATCGAAGAGATGTGAATATAGCTCAACGCACACTTCGCAAGGCGACCCTATTGAAGGAATATACATGACTTAGTTCGAGGATATGATGTTTGCTTGGAATTTATGCGTTTTCTTAAGGATATCAAAGTCTTGGGACGGATTTTTGGAAGTTCTGTAACATCAACGATTGTGAGCATACAACTGTACACGCAATCTGAGAACTGAGAAAATCAAAGCAGACTTGCAAGTGTTTCGTGTGTACTACCCGTTAGAATTTGTAACAGTTGTCAGAATTCCGAGTTTATGATGTTGCTGCTTGGTATTCCGGTCCAGTAATGGTTGAAGAAACTTTGCTGCCTAAGGATGACGAATACTCTAAGGAAGAGTTCTCCACAACGCTAAGACCTATCTTGGTGGGAACGAATACGACGCTCTGATACCCAAATAGGAAACCTAGGATCCTTGCGTTGATTATTGATAGGACGCGTGGAAGTGTAGATCGGGTGTCCTCGCGGATTCTTGGCCAGTCTTGCCTAAAACGCTAATGCCTCTGATGCTGAGCCCTGTGCTTTGAATAGCGCCGATACTTGCGCACTTCCTAATGCTGGAATCTCCCCGTAGATTAACTAGATAGAGAATACAGCCGAGTGGCAGTTGATGTTCTTAAGGTGAACCATCATGTTGTCGTGGGTAATTTCAAGAGATTACTAGTTGGTGTGAATGGAGCAGCAACGTAGTTGCTATAGGCTAAGTCTATTAGCTATGCGCATGCGATTACAGAATGGGATCGCATACTCGTACCTCAAGAGACGATAACGCCTTGTCAGAAGAGTGTCATCACGATGCGTTCTATTCGTCGAAACCGATTCGCGACGCGTGTCTGGGTTTGATAGCACCTCTCCAGAACCTCTCCAACTAGCTGTAAGTCTGCCTCGAGGGAATGAAGAAGGATTTTTCAACATCCTTGATGTGTTGACAACATCGAGCCCAGCCAACGAACAAACAGTAATGGGTGTTTTCGAGTAAAGCCGGGTGCTCTACTCCAACTCTTGCATAGAATCTAGTGTGATATGATATCCATACGAACATCAATCAGCTAACCCTTTCGTTGCAGTCTAAGCAGAGTTGAGCAAACCTCCAAAATCGAGGGGGCGTTATGGCCCACGTCCGTGACACCACCATTAATATGGTCCAGGAAGTGATGTAAGCATAAACGATAGTGTCATATTTCGACCTAGTGAGGACTTCCTGGCGGGCTGTGAGGAAGGATTCGGCGTCAAATTCGACTGCTAACCCCCCTGTAAACAAGAGCCGAAGAACGCCTTGAGAATTGTATCAAGACATCGGTTGTATTCCGAATTAAGCAGAGGGGTTTGCCGGGACTGAGCAGATCCAGCAGGTTTAGGAACCAGACGGCTACTTGAACGACTAAAAGTAGGCCAATAAGACAGCGAACCAAGGACTCCTTGAGCATGGCGCACGGTTGCAGCGTGAAGGAAGGAGCGCGCAAGGCTGTAGCAGAGGATCAGAGGTATCAGGCAGCAAACAATTTGTAACTCTGAGTATGGGGTGTGTGCTCGTTTTCAGCTGCGGCATTGAAGTAGCCAAATTGCAATTCCGTGCCCAATATCGAGAAGGCAAAGTGTCCTCTGTGAAACAGACGGGAGCGGGATCATATGATGGAACAGCCGCACCGTATTCCCACGAGGCTCAGTGTGAGACTGCGCACCAAGAAGGTGATGTCGAATTCGTGATTGAAGGATTCAGGAACAGGCTGAGCATAATGCATGACGAGCCGTGATGTTTTGAAATGGGCTGGGGAATGCCATTGGTTCTTGAGCAATGCCACGCCACTAACCCTCATTCTGCGCTAGGCTGACACTAGTATTACTGAACGAGGTCGCCTGCATTCTTACTTTCACGACCACAGTTTTCCACCATCATGAGGTGATGTTTCCACCTTTCGTTTGCTAATGTAGTTCACCGAACGTGTGCTATGAATGTTGTCATTCCTCGGAGTTCGTTCGTAAGGCATGGCGCCTCGAATCGAACGTGGCGTTTTTAGCACTCAAATAGATTGGCTGTTGGTTCTGGACGCCGGTAAAAGCAAACGCCCTCCAGTGACATTCTTCTCGTTCTGTCACCCCTCTGTCGTGAAATTCTCTCCCACGAACATTTTCTGCCAATGTACTGTTTTACTTTGGGCAAAATTTAACGACTTATCCACCCGGTTGGGACGTAAGCGGATTGGAAAGATACACGCCCTGCACAGCCTTTGTTCACGCCTCCTCCTCGTTCCATTTGTTTCCTCGCTTGTTGTCCAATGCCCTTGCAAAGAGGAGCGAAGATCGCTTTGTAAAGTGTGACCCGTTTGCAGAATAACAACCGATCCGGCGGTGAACGACCAGGTCTGGAGTGGCTGCTCACCCCCCGCTACACTCGCTACGTTCGGAGTATTGTGAGTGGAGTGGGAAAGGATCCGGGCAGTGTTCTAGGTGCTGGAACTAGATGAGAGACAAATGGCTCCACACCCTTGCAGCATGGGCGTCCGTTGTTGGGCATATATTGGAGAACAAAGACCCAAGCGTCTCTTTGAATCCCATTGTTCTCCTTGTGTTACTCTTCTGGAAATTTCCGATAGTTTGAAGGTAAGTCTAACATAGTAATTTCATGCAATTTGATTGCTCTCCGGACTCTTCGGCTTCATACACTTATCTCATATTTGTCCTTCAGCTCACTAACCAGTAACAGCTTCACTTAAAGGAGCCTCTCTTCAAGTATCCATATCATTACGCCGTTTATTCCTAACGATGCCTGCTCTCAACGACTTTCCGAGAAGATTCCACGACGATGAAAATTCAGATGTCGAGAGTCAGGCATCAAGCATCGTCGCTCTTGAAGAACAGCCCACCCCAAAGTGGTATAGTCGTAAAGCGTCAAGGTCATGCAAGCCTCTCACAAGAGCACGCGAGTGGAAACAGAGTTCTTTAAACCCGACAGATCCCGAAAGAAGAACGAGAAGAAAGTCATTGTTCAGGAAACTGTTGATCGTCTTCGTGGTGCTAGCTTGCTTTAGCGTCATTGCAGCGATGTAAGTTCAATCTACCAATCACCCTCCCGTTATAGTAAAGCATTTGTGCTAACAGCATCTAGAACATACATCTCCCTCGTCGGTGCACTCATACGTCGGCTCAACCCTCCCCGAGTCTCAAGCGGACTTCAGCACATTGTTGATAACTGGAAAGAACCTGACGCGAACGGTGCATACCAGTTCGAATGGAGGGATGACTTCAGCCGCGACATCACCCCTAAGAACTGCCATTCACATAACGATTACTGGCGCTCTGTCCCAACGTATCAGGCTCTGGCTGCTGGATGCGTGAGCATCGAGGCGGACATATGGCTGAGTGGCGACAATGAGCTTCTCGTCAGTCACGCATGGAGGTCTACTAAGAAGGAACGCACTCTCCAAAGTCTCTACCTCGACCCTATTACAAACATCTTCACAAACCGCAACGTTTCCACGACCTCCATAAAGGATAAAGAAGTCGGAGTCTTTGACACAGATCCAAATGCTTCCATCATCCTCCTTATCGATTTCAAAAGCGATGGCGCCAAAACATGGCCGGTTTTGATATCCCAGCTGGAGCCTCTTCATAAAAAGGGCTGGCTCACTTACTTTAATGGCGCTGAGGTTGTCCAAGGCCCCCTCACCATTGTCGGCACTGGAAACACTCCATTTGACCTCGTTTTAGCAAACACGAATCGCTACATATTCTTCGACGCCGCCTTGGATGATGTATCAAACGAAAAATACACAAAGGAGAACTCGTACTACGCGAGCGTGCAATTGAATAAGGCCATCGGTCACATCTGGCTCAACAGACTTACGTCAAGTCAGGTCAACACGCTCAAGAAGCAAATCAAAGCTGCGGCAGACAAGGGACTCAAGTCACGATACTGGGATACTCCTTCATGGCCGATTTCACTGCGTGACAAGGTGTGGTTCACGCTTACTGAGAATGATGTCGGCATGTTGAACGTGGATGATCTCACTAGTGCTACGAGGTGGAATTGGAACTGGTGCGTCATCGCTGGATTAACACTGTGCGGGAAGAGTTGAACGAACCACATTGAGGCCACGGAAATATCTTTGACGATCATTTTAAGCATTGGGCGGCGTTGGGTTGGAAATTTACAGATACCATTTCAGATCGGCAATCACTTAGCATACTTCGGTCATTGATATAGGGTGAGATGCATATACAAGGGACTAGCGACTACTATATATATATTAACAATGCCGAGCTGCCGTTCCAGGACCGGTTGACTTTCATATCTGACAAAAGCCAAGTGCTAAGCCTTCTTGAAATTCACTCAAGCACGATGCCAAGTCATGATCGACACATAGGGCTGAGCTAGTGAACTGCCGAAGAAGTTCCGCTTAAACATCCTCAGATATCCAGAGCATCAGCACGACACAGGCCAGCCAATAAGGTGAATATGGCCGAAGACATGCAGATTAATGTGCAGCGCGCAAAACAGCTTGCGGAGAATTTGGCGAGTATAACAGCACGCATCACCGCCGCGACCAGGGGTGGGGAACAGGTGGGTTCATTCCTTCATCCTTTTCACTCTCAGGTAGTGATCAGATTGGCTAACATATTTACAAGGTCCGACTAATAGCTGTCTCAAAACTCAAACCCGCAACCGACATCCTTTCCCTTCACCAACCCCTCCCTCCCTCCTCGCAACCTCTCCATACCCACTTCGGCGAAAACTACGTCCAAGAACTACTCGAAAAATCCAAAATTCTTCCGCGTTCAATACGATGGCATTTTATCGGTGGTCTACAGAGTAACAAGTGCAAGCAACTAGCAGAGCAGATCCCGAATCTCTGGTGTGTGAGCAGTGTGGACAGTCAGAAAAAACTTGACCAGCTTGAGAAAGGGCGGTCTGCTTTGATTGAGCAAAATGCCGAGGTAGAGAAGCTGAGAGTCAAGGTGCAAGTCAATACTTCAGGGGAAGAGAGTAAATCTGGCGTGGAGCCCTCGGACGCGCTGGCACTGTGCCAATATGTCATTGGTCAATGTCCGCATCTTCAGCTTACAGGCTTGATGACGATTGGCGCGATTGCGAGATCCAAGGCCACGACACCAGAGAATGAGAATGAGGATTTTATTACACTGGCGAATACGAGAGATAAGGTGGCGAAGGAACTGGGTTGGAATCCCGAGCAGTTGGAACTCAGCATGGGGATGAGTGCGGATTTTGAGGGTGCGATTGCGATAGGGAGTAGTGAGGTGAGGGTAGGGAGTGATATTTTCGGAGAGAGACCTCCGAAGAAGGATGCTGTGGTTGTAGAGAAAGGGTAGTAGATGTTCAGGATTAAGGGAGGACACGGTGGTCCTTCAAAGACACACGACGCGATTCGAGTTCCCTAAGCGTTGGCGACTCGTAGTATGGTCGATTCTCTCTTTGCAAAAAGATAACCATTGAGGCAAGTGGGTAGGTCTCCGTCCTTTCAGCTTTCGTGGTTGATAGTACTGTTCTTCTCGGACTTTAAGTAAGCTACGATGCCCTCTCCACTTTTACTTCACTTTCCTACTCCTCATCGTTTGTCTTAGACATAGCGTTGAATCATCTGGGCACCATTATCTCGAGCGTAGAGCATTTGGTCGGTATCACACTTATCTCTTGCTAGTTTATGAAAGTGGTGCACTTAACAAAGCACAATCGGCATATAAGTATCAGGCTGAGTCACTCTCTTATGCCATTCTCGCTCAATCCTTTCGTTATAACTGCAATATAATGAGCGGTTGTCTCAAAGAGTGCCCAGGGGCAACTGATAGGATGGCACATGACAGCGCGTGCCTTCCGTGCTCGAACTTGCGAGCAGGACATCACTTCCAGTCCACACACCTTCATTTCTCTGCACGCCCAACACACCACTACTCCGCTTCTATCTTCAAGGGTATTTAGAGATGAGATATATGGTAGAATTCTCTTATTCGAACCTGAATATCGAGGGACTAAGCCCGTTCCAGCCGCAAAGCCTAACCGTCACACAAATCATCAGGGTGGAGCTGTCATGAGTGGCGGCCAGCCCTAGAACGTCTTTACTCCACCTAGTAATGGCTCTTCCATCCGTGGATCTAATCAATCCTTACTCCAACCTCCGAATACAGCGATTTTCGGGAAGTGCCCCACGGCAATCTTTCCAGTTCCGTGGATGGTAGCGGTTCCTTCATGGGATCTGGGGATGGGACGGCACCAAGCCTCTGGACTAGACTTTCCTCGGCCTCGTCACAGCTACAGAACCTTGGCACTTGCAGCACATCATTGGCCTTCTCAAACTATCTCTTGTCAGGCTGAATACCAGCAATTCAGTCTAGAGGGGCTAGGGGTCGCGGGTCATGCTCAATGACTCGGCTGCCTACTACAAACACAGTTATCATGCGCACTCTATTTCTAATGCCCTCTTCTGCTATTCGTGGGTTTACCAGCCACGACCCCGCAAAGTCGGGGTTCACTTCTCAGGTTTCAGAAGTAGGAAAGAAGGCAATCGGCGCTCGCAACAACCGAGATCGCCACGTTGACAGTTTCGTGTTGAAGCTACTATGCTAGCATACCTCCAAACTTGAAGGCCTGGCCATTGAAACTATAGTTGGTACTGAGGGCACGCCACAGAGACGAAGTGGTTTCTATCTAAAGAGCTTTGTGTTGCTGCTCCCTGTTCTTTAGTGGCGCTATCGAGCATGATTTTAGAAAGTGTCCAGAAAACCTGATCAAGCTAGCAGATAATGACCCCTACATTTTTAGCTACTTTATTGAGTGGCTTCACTATAATGAGTATATCTTCCCATGGTTGGGTAGGCGAAAATGAATGTGCGCACTGCAGCTTAGCACTTGGGGATACAGTTTGGGCCCTCTCCGCATTGCAGTTGATCTAACAAGAACCCTCAGACAAGTTGATGGGGACGGAGTTTACGAGCTCCACAATGAGGCGTCTCTCCCATCTGCGTTTGTTATCAAGCCCGCAGGTGTTGACTACGCCTGCAGAAACAGCCCGCCCGACTCCTCTTTTCGACGACACTTCTTCGACCTCCTAGCCACCATTTCGCAAACCCGGATAGAGTGCATAGGATCAACGAGGAATGGGTCAGATCACGCGGACACAAGGGCTCGTCTCCATAGTGGATCAAGATCAGCAATACTTCTTCAAAAGGGTTAAAGCAGACCTAGACAGGAAGTGTTCTAACACCTAAGCCTAGTCTAGCTCAATGCTTGCAGGTACTTGTACAAAAGTTCGTGGGTACGCGTTCAGTTGAAGGTTCTTGGCAGAGTCTGGATCAATGAGTATGGGAGGGTTAACAGGGGAAATGGGTACACTGTGACTTGGGGTTTTTTCGCCATTTCCTTGAATCATTCGAGATGGCACATTTTGGTCACCACTCAATGGATTTAGAGTGAATCGTGATGTAAATTCCAGCAAGGGTAAATTGTCGACGAAGTGACATCTATGAACAGCGTTCCCAACTGTACGTAATACGTTTCAACTCGCTGTTTTTTAGGCTGTAACTTCTTAGTTTGTTAGTACGTTTTAACGTAAAGAAAGAATTTAAATCCACTTATAAGGCGTAACTGTTATAGCTTACAATCCTCCTATGTTTTAACAGCTTACAAGATGTTACAGCGTATATAGTCTACTAAGTCCCCTATTTTACTGTAAATATAACTCTACTAGAGCTAGTTTTTTTATAGTTAGAAAGCCTTAATTATTAAGCTAAAAAGCTTATTTTTATTATAAGTACTAGTCTTTCTACTCTTAAAAAAGAACCTCTTATAATTATAGCTTATAAAAAAGATAGATAAGAAGTTAAAAGTAATTTTATATAGTATAAAGTAAGAAAGTTATCTAACTTATTTTTACTAAGTAAAAAGGTTAGTAAATAAAAAGCTGTTGTTATTAGCTATAGTAATGTCTTTATAGTAGCTGTTGTAGTACTGCTGCAACTTTATTGTTTTCTGCTACTTTTTATATAAGTAGCTGCTAGTAAGAAGGCTTATGTTAATAAAAAAAGTCCTTTTAAAGCTTTTATTATAATAGTTGCTACTAAGTAACTTGTGTTACGTAAGCTTTTAAGTAATGTTGTTATTATTAGCTTTAGCCTTAGCTTCTGCATTAATGTACTTTTAAAAAATAGCTTTTATTAAAGCCTTAGCTTTTTTATGCTATATAAAGTGCTTTTTTTAGTAGTTCTTAAACTAAATAAGATAAAGTTAAGAGTTTAAAATTATTACTACATAGTAATAAAATATAAGTAGCTTAATAATAAACTTTTTTTAGTATATAAGTAACTTCTCTATGCTAAATGCTACACTAGATTTAAAGTAGTAATTATTACTCTTACCTTTAAGTTTATTGCCTATATATAGAAGCTTAGTATAAAAGTGTTATAAGTTAATAATAGACATCTAGAGAGAGCTGTAGAAGCTATTGCCTTTAAAGCATTTTATTATAAAGTAAAAAACTTTAAAAAACTTATAAAAGTAATTAACTTTTTTTTATTTATTTTTAGTAATAACTTTAGTAAAAGTAGAGTTACTAGAGATAGTAAAGTTTATAAAGTTATTATTAGTGCTTTTTTACTTACATATAAACTTAGTAATAGTGTCCTTAAGCTTAAAACAGCAGAGGAGCATAAGATAAACACTATGCTAGTGTACACTGCTATTTTATATAAGATTAAGCGTCCTAAAGCTCTAAAAAGAGTTATTATTATTAAAAGCAGCCTAAAAAGTTATAAAAGCCTTTTATTATTTATATAATGCTAGCACTATATTTATAAAATTATAAAGTTTTTTAATAACTTTATAGCAGTAATAGAGGTTAAATTATTTCTAAGAAGCTACTTAGATAAGCTTTACTTTAAAAGCACTTATTTCTTTACTATAGATAACTGCTTTTACTACTAGCTAGATTATATAGCCAGCGCAGCGTATATAGTGCTTAGAGGTAAGGGGCATATTAAGATGTTAAGTAAGAGTAAAAATAGTCTTATTATTATTATTTAACACATTATTAGCTACTAAATAATAAAATTTTAATATAATTTTAAAGTTATTAATAACTTTAATAATCTCTAGCGCTTAATTTGCTTTAGTATAGTTACTATACAGGTTATAAAAGCTAATTAGAATATTATAGTGTTAGTAGTTAACATCTACGCAGTATTATTAGTTAGTGTTTAGTTTAATAGGGGATACTAAGATGCTAAACTAATAAGCTAAGGTACACTTACTAATAAAGTGTAACACTATACCTAAGAAGAAGAGGTAGTTTAGAGAAGTTTATATATTAACACTTAACATAATTTTGCTTTAGGCTATTTTTAGCATTATTTAAATCTCCTGCTTCTGCTATGTATATCCCTGCTACACATAGGACAAATATGTAGTGTTAGACGCTAGAAGGGCAGTAAGAAGATTAGCTTTATTTTAAGTAATAATGCCTTAAAGTTCTACTAATAATACTATATAAAAGAAAATATTATAAAGTATTACCTAGTTAATAACTACTACTTATAAAGCTTCCTCCTACTAAACACTATAAAAGATAATATATAATAAGCCTGTAACTTTATAAGCTACTTTAAATAAACTTAAGAGAATTCTTAGCTTATTAGGTAAAAAAGTGCTTTTACTTTCTTTACTAATGTCTATCTAGTGCTCTTTTTTAAGGTAGTAGATAATATAAGTGTAACTGTTAACTTTTTTTACTCTTTTATAATTACCCTTAGTGTAGCACCTTCTATAGAGCTATAACTTTATTCTAAAGGTGTCTTTCTTATTATTATACACTAAATTAGCTTTATAAAGCTATATCTAAGATAACTAATAATTACTACATAATTAGCTCTTATACTTTACCTAGTATTTAAGCTTTTTTAGCTTTAACTTTCTGTTTCCTATCTAAATGTTATTCTACTTAATAGTAAATAATACTTTATTATTAAAAGTAGAGTTGTCTAGGTACTTTTTTATAAAAGCTAAAAGACTATTAGATAGCGTGCTATTACAGAAAAAAACTAAGAACTTTAATAATAAAAACTTTAATTAAGCAAGTTAATAAAAACTAGCGTAATAAGTAACCTTAGTTTAGTAGAAAGAGCTAGCTTAAAAGAATCTTTAGAATAAGGCTGTATGCCTACTATACTAAAGGAACTAGGACATCTAGCTTATAATAAGTAAGTTTATAAGTAATTATAATTTTTAACTAAAATTATAAGATCTTACGCCTTAATCCTTTTCTTTGCTAGCTTCTTAATTATTATATAAACTGCAGAGTTTTTACCTAATTATTACTCTAAAAACACAACTTTAAACACCCTTCTAACGCGTCCCTATAGCTGTCTAATAAGACCTTATATTACTAGGAAATATTGTCTCTCTGAGACGTATTACGGTCTGTAATAGGAGCTGGCTCCTACGTACGTTACGGCTCACACTCCTCCTACGTTTCAACGGCTCACGTGACTGCTACGTTCACGTATCTACGAGTCGTAGTCAGTGCTGGCGATAGATCGATCCGATTCGTGGATCGATCCGAATCCACGCTATCCTGAATCTAGATTAGATCCTTAAATTAATTCATAGTCTTAGCTAAAAATTTGCTTCCCTATTAATAAAACAACTTTAAAAGTCTTATATAATAAAATCCTATAAATTAAGCTTAACTCTAGTGCTTAAAAATAAAGGCAGTAACATTAGAAACTTTGTATAACTACTAATGTCTA